TTTATCTTCTGTGTTTGTTGAACAAAACAAAAGATACTTGCTCGTTGGTTACAATATTCCTGCTTATAATGAAAAGTTCCTTCATCATCCAACATACACAATTCATCAGAGAGATCTGGAACATTAAGAAAGTTGATTTGTTCAATGGTGATGAATATTCTACTTGAAAATTAATCATTAAAATATAAACAAAATTGTGGATAACTAACTTTATGCTTTTAATTGGAACAATAAAATGGAAGATTGTAATACAGAAATTTTAATTATTATAGTTTATTGAATAAAAATTCTATTTAATCATAATTACTTAATATATGTTTATTCCCCACTGCATAAATATTATATGAAGTGTAAAATTAATGTAAAAAAAAAATTGAAATAATGAAAAAACAACAGTACTATTCTTGCTTTGGTGTTTCAGATCATTGTGTATGCTGGTGTTACATCTAAAAGTTTATTGCATAGATCACAATTTTTGCTTTAATACATCTCAGGTTGTGATTGTAACACTGCTGCAAAATAAGACTAGTTTCATAAATATAATAACAATTAAAAAGTTTTTAAAATTTAAGTTAAATATTTTATTTCTTTATTTATTAAGGTAAAGGACAAAATTGTAAATTAGAAACTTGCAGTTTCTTTTAGTAAAAATCTTTTTATATTTTATTGAAAAATCCCTTTTGGCACGCAATTTTTTAAAATGTAATTATTATATTTTATTTTAGGTTTTTTCTTCAACAAAACCTTATTACATTAACATCTGGGGTTATTTATGAACACAAATCACTGCTGTATTTAAGTAACAAACGTGAAAAATCACACTATCAGAATTAATTACTTTATTAATTTACCATAATCATTATTGTAAAAAAAAAAGTTTACAGTAAAAAGGATCTCAAATAAAAGTTATCCATAATGTGAGAGTTAAAACTAAAATATAAGTTCTTCTTTGGTTTCATGAAAAGAATTTTTTTTCATACTTTTATATAGTACTGTTCTATAAGGTAAATTTCATTAAGATCAATAACATAATTAGAGAAGGTGCCACAATGAGGTGAGATGAAGAGCTGTAGCAACCAAGTACTTGGTGCATGATTGTATATTCTGTCATGTCTGGATATTTGCAGCTAGCATCTGAAATTTAAAAATAAGTAAATAAAAATAAAAATAATCATCATAGCTCGCTCACAAGAATATTGCAGACCAAGGTGAACTCACATGACACTGAATCAAAACTAACATTCCTCTCCAAATACTTTGAAAATTCAATTATAAAATTTATATTTAAGGTGGTATGAAAACAAACATTTCAATTATAGTTGAATTGTTCATCAGGTCAATTAATAAGTGGAAAGGGAACATTTTTTCTGTTATATTCTTGCGAGCAAGCTATATTATCTCCATTTATTTCATTATGCAATCTGAAAAAAATATATATATAAACAATTTAGTCCTGGTTAACTATTTATTTAAGTTCTATTTCTTTTTTTTAATATCTTAAAATTGTTATCTCATTTATCATCCACCACTATTTATCATTACTAACTATTTTCTGTATTATATCTCTGATGTTATAAAAAAAAAAATGTTTAGCCCTGATGATCCACATGTTTGGGTTGAAAGAACTGCAACCATAGGTGCCGATTTTTGAAAATTATTGGGAAGCCAAATTATAGGATCATGAGATGGGGAGCTAGGGAGGATGGGGATATTGTTTGGAATATATCCTATATGCCTGTATGCAATATATAATATATGATTATATGTTATATATAATATATGGTCTTTATGCAATATATAAGATATGATTATATGCAATATATAATATATGCCTATAAGCAATACATTATATATTATATACGTATATGTAATATAGAATATTTACCTATATGAATAATTACAATCTCAGCAAGGTATTAAGTTGTTTCAAGCCCTTTCTGATAACAAAAGAGTGTTAAGTTACTCAAAATACTTTAAATTAAAACAGTTTTATTTTAATAGATGATTCATTTTACAGTTTAAGTGAGTTTATGAATCCACAATAGGACACAGTTAAATCAATACAACTATATCTGCTGCTAGATAGATATAGTAATTTTTAACGGAATGGCAATGTACACTATCGATATTTTCATGAAGTTCATACTATAGCAATTTGTTATGAAGATAAGCCCTGGGAGACCCTAGTAGTTAGAGTATATATCTGCAACACTCTTGTTATTTCCAATAATTTCTTGATATCAATTAACTAATAATCATTTAAAAAAAAAAAAAATTATCAAAAAATTTAATTGCCTGGGATTATTTATCAGAAATAAGCAATTTTCTTTACAATGTAGTCTTGGTTATTGAAGATGGTTCTGCTAATTATGACAAACAATACTACCAGGCATTTCCTCCACCAGATCCTGAATGTTTGTTATTAACGAGACTATCTTAAACCTGACGATCAATGTTCATGTTACTAACTTCTCCATATCGAATACTTTGCCTACTGCAACAGGAAATTGTATTATATCTCTTATGAAATATTGCACCATGATCATGATCATGATGAAAATGTTGCTGTAGTATCTCAGGCATAAAAAAACCATATATATGCAATTTCAGTTTCGTACGACTTTTCCTTTTTCAGCTAGGCTTTAACATACACACACATGAGAATGCACACACACACTCACACTCACAGACCATTTTGTTGGACTTAGTTATTTTGACTCAGGGGACCTCAAAAAAGTGCATTTCCATTTAAAACTCAAATGCAAAAACTTTCACAATTGCAATACTTACTCTTACTATATATTACATATATATATATATACATATATACATATATATACTTAAGTGAAAGCAAACAAAAAATTTTAACTATTGTCACTGAAAACTCTCTGCAATTGGAACTTTTTGGTAACCTTAACAATGCATTCCAAACCTGCTGCAGCCATTAGTTTGGGTTACTGAAGTTGCATTGTATTCCAATAAAAAAAAAAAAAACCTTCATTAATTATTCTATTTTAACTTATTTAAAAATTAAAAATTATAATCAAAACAGATAGATACTTACTATGAAAATATTAGATGATCAAAATTTTAGTAGTAATTCATCACTATTATAAATTAGTTAACAGGCATACCATGGTTTTTTGATTCAGGAAACCTTAAAACAGGTATTTCACAATTTTTCCTCTTGCTATATATTTCTTATATATGTAGATGAAAGGAAAAAAAAATATAGATATAAAGAATAAAATTACCAATGATGATTAGATAACATCATTAATGAATACTTGAATAATGGTTTTATAAAATTTGAACATTAATTATTAGTTTGGAAGCCAAAATTATATACTTAACAATACCTACTCATGAATGATGAAGTTATCAGAATAAATATTTTATTGTAAGTTTTTGTACAATTAACAGATTTTACAACTTTTTTTAAATATGTTCTTTTAAAATCTATTATAAGCACCAAAATATTTATTACATCATGCTTTGTAACAAATTAAAAACATGAATGGTATTTACGATTATTAGATATGCTAAGTCTTATGATATGTACAATGATATAATATCTTAAAATGAATACATATATGTACAGCTTAAAATATTTACACAATTATTCCTGTTACTCCAAAATATTAAAAAATATATAAATATAAAAAGATTATCAGGATCCGTTGATAATAAAAAATTTCAATTGCCATGTTAGGAATCAGATTTTTGTTTTTGAAGAGAAAAATATCAAATTTAAAATATAGGATAGTTCAAAAAAGATTTCTTACAATGTAGTAGTTGCATTAATTTACTATCCACTTGAAAGCTGTTACGCCAAATGTTGAAAAATCTCCAATTGAAAAGAAGAAAAAATTACAGCTCTAATTTTAACCTGATACTCATCCCTTAATGTAAGCAGCCATGTTACACATACATAAAGAACAATAGGAAAACTTAAATTATAATTTTTAAGTTTCAGGACAGAAGATTTAGTAGTTTTGCAAAAAAAAAAACAAAAAAAAAACATATAATTGTTTGTGTCCGTATTTATTCCTAATCCAAAAATAATACAATTATGTTTACAAATATTAACAATTCAATAATGGATATATCCTTTGAAATTTAAATAAATATTTATAGTATTTTTATATTTTTTAGCAAATAAATTAATTTCTCACGAAGCATAAAAATTTTAGGATCCTCTAATGATACGAGAAGCGATGAATGGTTCTACGGATTCAACTACTAATTAAAATTTAAACATAAGATTTGTTCAAATTTATGGTTAACCACTGGTACATGTAGATAAACATTCTTCCAAATCATGTCCTTGAAATATTTTATAGTATATTTGCATAGTGCAATTTTACAATTGTATTATTACTATTATATCATGGGTGATAAATATTTAGGACGCAGTCATTATAAAGTTTTTATTGGTGCCGACGTTTCAACCCGAACATGTGGGCCATCATCAGGGCTGACATTTTTTTTAATACAATCAAGGATATAATATTATACGACAGATAATGGTTAATAATAAAAAATATAGTGATGATACATGAAATAGACAAATGAAATATGTTATATAAACTAAAAATAATCTATAATCAATTTATAAAAAATGTAATATTTTCTCTTACTAACCGTGTATTGAGCATTGAAGGCTTTCGGTCGGAGGAGGATTTCCCAGATGTCTTTTAAGATAGCAAAAGGTAGGTAAACAAAAGGTGCATGAAACACGATTAGTAACAGAAAATATTACATTTTTTATAAATTGATCATATACATTATTTTTAGTTTGTATAACATATTTCATTTATCATCAATCACTATTTTTTTTTATTATTAACCATTATCTGTTGTATAATATTATATCTCTGATTGTATTAAAAAGTTTTCAGCCCTGATGAAGGTCCATATGTTTGGGTTGAAACATCGGCACCAATAAAAACTTTATAATGACTGCGTCCTGAATATTTATCATCCATGATAAACTGTTGACTAACTTCCTTCAATAATTTATTACTATTATAATTTACAGTCTGATTTTAATTTCAAGTGGATAATAAATAGTTTTATTTATGTTTTATCAACTCAACAAAAATTTACTGCAGTAAGACGGAAGATAATAAAACAGTAGGTACAAATATTATTTTTGATTAATTTTATTGTTTGAAATTAACTGATAAATAATGATCCTTCATGGTGTAATTCCTTTCAATCCATTAATTGTTATTTTTTTTTTTTAAAGAAACTGCATAATTGTACACATTTATTTTTACTATCATTAGGCCAATATTTATTAGGAAAAATATATACTTAAAAAGAAAAATTGGAGGTTGCAAAATTGGCGAATTATATACCACATAAAAAAAATTTCAGATGACTGTAATATCTTATGTTTATTTTCCTTCTGTTGAATTTTTCAAGAAATAATTCTTGATAAATTTATTTATTAATAATTGTATTAATAAAATTATCGATAGATTTATTAATTATTTTTATTGGATTAGTTATAACACTTTTGAATAAGGTATTTGTTACTTAATGCAAGAACATACAATATCAAATTTTGAGGACTGAGGTTTGTTGAGTATTCTTCTTACTTAGTTATACACAAGAGAGATTAAATTCTAGTAATGAAAACATTTAACATACAAGTTTATCAGAATAATTACATATTTTTTTCTGTTTGAAACATTCAGCTACCAATAAATTTCTCTTTGATAAAGCTGTAAAAATTTGACATTGTTTGTTCCAGCATTATGAATCAGATATTTTTGAATATAATGTTAATATACAATGTTTAAACAAAAATAAATTAGCACTAGGTAGTAATAGTAGACTAGTACATTTTATAGAAATGTAATACAATTACTTACATGGTAGTAAAATAAAATCATAAAATTCTCTGAAATATTTAAGTAATAACAAATTATACAATATTTTATGAATATGTACACATAACTGAGCGACCAGGAATATACAGTATGTAATATAAATATCTTGTTGTTTTTATTTATTTTAATAATAACTTAAACCGAGGACACATTAATATGGATTTATAATGATGGAACCATTCAGTTCACCTCTTAATTTTTATGATTATTTTTTTTTATCCATGAGGACTACATTCAGCACAATAAAACATATAAACACTAAGATCGATCAGAAAAAACATCGATTTTATATATCAAGAAGTTATTAGTCTTTTCTCAGCTCTAGAAGTGAGCCATAATATAACTTTTATAAATCATTTCACTCCTGTACATGTCATCTTAACAGATAGAATATCAACACAGAGAGGAAGAGAAACTCATTAATGTATTGGTCTGACGCTGAAGACATAGGGAAATGCTGTCTTCTTCTGCTGTTACGACCACTTTTCACACTACTCGTGTCGACTTCGTTCAACTCAACTTGGTAGTGTGTTGGAAGAGTAGCTGTAATATTAAAATATTTTAGAATTTTTAAATAAAAAAAAGAAGTATTAATGTACTTGTTACATCTTAATATTAATTTAATAAAGTAAAATAAAGTATGAAGAGAAGAATAGTTGGGGTGGTCAGTCAAAAAAGAAGGCAAAAATAAATGATAATATTTATTTTTACATATGCCGACGTTTCGACCTGAAGTTCAGGCCTTCATCAGGGCTAAGAAAATAACCAGATAACAAGGTATGAGAAACATAAGTAGTGATGGTAAAAAAAAATAAAATAAAATAAAATAAATAAAAAATTATAAAAAAAAAATAAAATAAATATAAAGTATTTATTTTATTTTTTTTACCATCACTACTTATGTTTCTCATACCTTGTTATCTGGTTATTTTCTTAGTCCTGATGAAGGCCTGAACTTCAGGTCGAAACGTCGGCATATGTAAAAATAAATATTATCATTTATTTTTGCCTTCTTTTTTGACTGATCACCCCAACTATTCTTCTCTTCATTATCCATGACAGTCAACCATTTACCAATTATAAAATAAAGTATAATTTTACCTCTGGTTGTCGTGCTTGTCAACACTTCTGTGGTTGTTATTTCTTCTAAAAACAGAAATAAATTATAAAATTATACTATTTAAAACAAAAAAAAAGGTTTCTTAGCATTATGTTTTCATGATACTAATGCATGTATAATTCCTATACAGATATAAACATTTTTTTTTGGATTCAAGCGGTGCTTCATAAGTCCAATTTAATTCTATTCAATTTTCAATTTTTTTTTTTTCAGATATAGGTGAAATAGAAACACAGAAGTGAAATTAGTGATTAGTGAAATAGATACACAGGTGAGAGGATGTTAGGGAATCAAAAGTGATATTTATGTTATAAATATTTAAAAGTTTCACATATTGTTGAAATATGCATATATGAATAATTATTGTTGTTATAAAAAGTCTAAAAAGTCAAAAGATCTAAAATCTCTGTTTAAAGTTTTAGTGAAATAAAAGTGAGTTTATTTCAAATACAGAGTACTCAACTTCATTCTATTTTGAACCTAGGGATCAGTTATAACGGTTAGTTATATATTTGACCCCTAACCCGAACGAAGGGCATTCTACACCTTGGAAATTGCTCATAAGCACGCTTTACACTGTATATAAATTTATATGATTTTAGAAATAAAGTATGAAAATACTATGATATTAATTTATATTATTAAATAATTGATGCTGATATCTCTGAAGAAAAATTCTGAAATATTCAAAGAATCCATATTTTGTCAAGTGATTTCTGTAATTAAAAAAATTATAAGAACCTTGAAGATATATTTGAAAGATAATATAGAAGGAATAGCATCTATGTAGTCTCAAGAAAGATTAAAAATTAAAATCCTAAGTATTTTCAAATTTGTTAGGATGCCCCAATAAGTCTATATAAGGACTGAAGCAATTTTAAAGACTTCGGTATGTTTAGAACCACTGTTTTCTAAAATTAATTAACAATTACGTTCACTTGACCTATAATTTCTAATATCTACATGAATAATTTTCTCTATAACAATTAATCGTATAAGAAAAAATAATTAAAACATATTTCTTATTTAAAAGTTATTGCTACATTTAAAAAATGCATATCTTGGCTGTTAGTAGACATCTTTTCCGCATAAATGGACTAGTCAGGTAATTTAACTTTAGTACCTTTTAATATTGCCACTATCCTTATAGTGACTATCGAATCAGCTGCTGTCATAGTGATGGTGAGCTCAACATAAAAATTAAATAAGGTTTAATATTTGAAGTTTATTTTATTCAACATTTCTTTAATACAGTTGATTCATTGATAAGCTAACATCAATTACTTTAACACGTTTTAGTATTTTTATTTTATTTCTAACGAGCAGCAAGCGCCTCTGAAGATAGCGTGGCACCCTTATGGGTGTCCCTCCAAGACCGGCACTGATTGGTTGCTATTAAAGGGCCAATTCCCTGTTTTACATAGTTTAAGTGTGCTTGAGAATGGTTTCCCTAATCAGAGTCAATAGGGTAAATGCACCAATAGCTGACATATTTAAGGAAATTTCTTTGAACTGTTTGGTGTAAATATGTATGATATTGTATTTTTTTTGGATTCATATTATATAAATGCTCCTCACCCATGCCAAGAAACACTTAAAATCCATGAAACATCCACCTAAATTTTAAACAATTGAAAATTTAGAGAATATTTTTGTAGCACTTTGATTTGGCATATTCCTATAGCTGGCAGAGATGTAATTATGTAACATACAGTATTGAAATTTTATATTCTTTATTTATTTATTTTTTTCTTAATGACATTTACAACTGCATTGCATAAATACATCTAGTAAATTTGGACATAAAGTTATAATGACATGAACTACCCAATGGTAGCACTCTAATGATATGACTACATTAGGAGATCAGGAGATTAGGAGATCACAGGGCCTAATGCGCTACTACCTTACTCTTGAAGCACAAGCAAAAGATTCATGAAAACAAGAATTTTGAAAAAAAACAATGGAAATAAATAAAAACTAACTGCACACAGCAACTGCAACTGAGTGTAGTGAACTAGGGTTTCAAACTGCCGCAAGGTAGTAGTGCAGTACATGCCTACACAACACACGTTTTTCCAGACTGAACTAACACAGTGTATCCACCATGGAATCACCATTTCTAAAATTGAAATTCTAATTTCTAAAATGGTGTCTACTGTCGAGAACTTATTTTTAAGAATAGGAAAAATTATTTATGCTTTGTATTTAATCCAAATCATTAGCAATTTTTTTCTTTTAACGGGGGAGTAATGAATAGTTCCATTTTTAAGACCCATTATATTAAAAATATCTCTTTAAATTTTGTTAGTACAGGCCTGTCAACTGCAAGCAAAAGGCATAATTCAAGGCTCCAGTAACTGACATCTATTTAATTTCCAATTCCTTTAAGAACATAAGTTGATAACTGATAAAACATGATTTAAAAACAGTCTAAGAAAAATAAATGATAAATGGTGATAAATGTTGGGACACTAAGTGTCCATTATTTGCCATTTTATTACCATATTATAAGCTAACTTGCCACTCATTATTTTGGTTACAGTTTCCATCAAATCAGACAAATATAAGACAAGTATATATAGAAGCTACAAAATTTCAATAGAGATCTAAGACATCCTGAAATCTTATTATTTCCCTTTTTCGAGGAGGATATCAAGTATTGGTACAATGTCAGCTAATGGTGTTTTTACTGAAAGCAGATTATAAAAAAGAAACTTAAGTCTATATCATAGCCAGACTTAAACCATGCCCAGAGAATAAAGCAATATAAATTATATGGAAAGAAAATATTGCCTTAATACCATATTACTGTTTTGTAATTATTATTTCTTATTTTTTAATATTTAAATTTAATTTTAAATAAAACAATAAATATTAAAAAATAAAAAAAATACCTGTTGTAGTTGGCATCTCAGTTGTAGTAGTGGTTGTAGTTGTTGTTGTTGTGGTTGTAGTCGGTATCTTAATTTCTAAAAATCAAAAATATAAATAAATAGACAGCATAATTTTAGTATTTAAAGGAAGACAAATTTAAAGGGAATTAATTTTTTTAGCATTTTATATATTTTTTAAAATGTATTAATAATTTAGAATAAATAAAAATCTCTTGAAAATTAAATAACTAAATTCTTTGATTTTTATAAACTTCTACATTTTGGTCAGAAGTATGAAATGTTTAAAAGAATTATCCTATTTAAATTTCTACAATGCACTAAGAGGATCATTCTTAAAAATACAGTAAATTTATAATAACTAATGGAAATTCACCGAATCATTTTCATTTAAAGATCTCAATCTCAACCTATTTGCTTCAGAGTTAGTCTTGAAACGATAAGTAAAAGAATTCTTGATATCTTCCCCATAAATTCAAGAGGCTGCTTTGGCTGGATGCCATGATGGGGGTGTTGAGTTATATCACTTCCTATTGTCTTAGTTAAATAATTCCCATTGTGTCTGAGACAGGTGGTCCTATATATTTATTAGGTAGAACATTAGAGTCAAGTGGTGTTTGGAAATTTATGTTATGGGAGAATTTTTTTTTTTTTATGTTTGTTAGTCTGTCAACTTCATTCCATTGTTTGTGTTAATGAATTAAAATTCGTAAAATGTAAGTGGAATCATTATTATCATTGACCCCACATAAAGGCCTTCTATAAAATCAGTCGCCAGTCATTTTTGTTCTAAACTAGAACCGCATTCAGGATTTAATTTTGTGGGAGCTGAAAAAACTAATAACCTATACGAAATGGTGTTTAAGTGATTAAATTAATATTATTAAATATGTAATCACACGAACAATAATACTTTTAAAGATAATTGGTTTTCATATGACATGGTTATATATAGTAGTTGTTTATGCATTATAATTTAACATATTCTAATTGTTTTTAGCCTAAGTCACTCAGAGTAACAAATTTGGACAAATATAAAAAAAAAAAAAATCTTCTTTTTGGGGGAGGGATAAGAGGAGTTTCAGCCCGCCAGCCCCTTTCCTCATTATTTTAAATTAATGTTTTATTAGTAGTACTACAACGGCAAGAATATCCAGAATAGGTAAAATAAGGAATGAAAAAACCGAGAAAAGATGGAGGTAAAGAAAGCATTCGGGCTGAAGCCCCCCCAAAATGGTAAAATATAACCATGTTTTATTAAAAGAATTACCTCTAAAAGTATTATTGTTCCTCTAGTTGCATTTAATAGTACTTAAAGAATCACTTGAACACCATTTCACATAAGTAGTTAGTTTCTTTCTATCTTCTGAAGTAATTATCCTAATATATACATACAAAAAAAAAATCTTTCAGCTGAAGTCCTCTTCCCCAAAATTAAATCCTGAATCAGTTAGTGCGTTGGTTTAAATCCATTGGGGATGGAATACATCTGGACCTTCCAAATCTGCTTTAGTTTAGACTGGTTATCTGTAGAATAATCCACTCCAGCCTATACCTTCCTAATGCAAGAAATGGCAGATATGGGGTAAAAGTAAAAAAACAAAACACCAATGGTAGAAAATGGCCTTTTTGGAATAAAGGTTCTAAAATCTTAGATCTGAAAATTTGACCTGATTAAAATATTGGGCTGGCAAATCTTTCAGTTTTCCTGTTTATATTTGTGTCAGTACCTTATCTGACTTTCAGTACCTTATTAACCCCCAATCTGGATTATTTATACTATTTGTAATATGCCAACAACCATTTCTGTAAACTTATGTTAAAATTAGATAATTATTATGTTTGCTATTGCATGTGAATATGTTAGGAAATATCGTTCGTTATCGTCCAACATTTTAAATAAGGTAAGCGCGTTTATGGGGATGATGTCTAAATCGAATACACATGAATAATTTCGAGCAGGAAATTTGACATCAATGACACTCAGTGGTCTGGTCGCGTGGAGTATCAAACAATCAAACAATTGTTTGAGTTATAATTGAGTCAACACTGTACTGTTCACAATTAACGAAATTGAATCAGTTAATTCGAAAACAAAAACGCTCAGAACTGAAAGAATCGGAAGAGTATTGCTTTCCATCAAAACAAAGCTAACCCCTAATTCTTGGTGTAGACTTTCCATTTTGATTGGAGAGGGGAGGGGGGGGGAGATGGATAAAAAAAAAAATTACTGTTCAATTACTTCAGTTACTTTTAAATCTCAATATAGGTATTGCTAAAAGAACAGAGAACGTTTTTCATAACATAAGTATGTTTCTATAAATTTTCCAGCTAAAATGAATAATATTAAAAAACTGAAAAATTGATTTCTAACACAATGTTTTCACAGTCCAATTAGATATGTAAAAATTTCATTAAAATATACAATTTATACTTGTACTTATTAAATACATATTTCCAACTTTATCGCTGAACTTAGACCGAAGCGAAGGTGGGAACAGAGGTACCCATCCCTCTCAAGGTCGATGGCACAAGAACCTACCTTCCCCCTCCTCCGAAGAAATTTTATTGCTAAACTTTTCATAAAAACATAGGTAAGGTACAATTAGAAAAATCGTAGATCATTACAGTTGCTGCGGTATGTCCATGTTTTCTTGCCGGTTAGTCCGAAAAATCATAATCCCGTCGAAATTTAACCCTCTCAAAAATTCGAAAACTCGTCGAAATATGCCCCCCTCAAAAATTTTGATTCATGCAACTTGCGCCATGAAACCCCCTTCTGGGCACCCCTGGGTGGGAAGATTGCGTTAAGGCCGATCTGAAGGGACTGGGTTTGAACGGTGAACGGTGGAGGGAGATAACGTGAAATAAGCGATCGTGTCGGCATCGAACCTTCGGGTTCTCTAAGCCTTATATTATTATCGTTGAGAATTTAAAAGAAAATCACATGAAAATGGAGGTGCCCACATGAAAGGTGAATGAATAATAAAATTCAAGGATACGTTTCTTTATATTCTATATTATCCCTGAATATAAATGAAAATTTAAATAATAGGAATATTTAGGTAGTGATAAAAAAGTTAGGTATCGTTACTAGTTATGGCCTTAGGCTAGTTAGTGTTGCCTAAAATCGGTCTTCGTCTTGCACTTTGTAAGACCAAGACCAAGACTGCCCAACTGTTGCAAGACCAAGACCAAGACTGCTGAAAAAAATTGATTTTTTGAATAAAAATTGAGACAAAATAGTTACTAATACTTGACAATTTTAGTTACCATATGTAATGAATTGGTATAACCAATATACTTTTGCATTTAACTCTTCTAATTTTTCATTCAGGCTTAGTTAGATTTCTCATTCCTCATTTTAATAAGTACATTAATATATAAACAGAGTAAGCTAAGTAACAAGATCCTAAACTAAAGTTTACTGTTTATAATTTTAATAAGCTTATTCACATTGTTTATAATTTTTTGTCTAAATATTATGTAACTTTCACAATTCCTTATCTTTTTGTATCTTGTCCGTTCTAGCCCTGAAGAAGAACTGCAAAGTCGGGTCGAAACGTTGGCTTTTAATAAAATAGTTTTGCCATTATTTAGCCTATCTATGACCGACACCCCGGACCTTTATAATGCAATGATCAACTATTAAATATTAAATATAATTAATATTTTTTTCTATAGTTTGATAATACAATCGTCAACCCTTCCTTCGTGCATAAACACCCTTTAATAATAATATGATTAATTCGACAGCAATAATGATCTTATAATAGAGCAAAATAATGATTTTCCAATAGTTTAACTTGGGGTTTATATTTGAATAGAGGCACCTTTATAGACTGAGGAGATCATTGCGGTTCTGCTCAAAGGGACATTTCTAGTAACTCCTTCCTCTGTGTCCTTTGAAGGGCGACCGGCCCTCTTACAGAAGTTACCCCAGTGCAAACTAATCAACACGAGTCAATGCCACCTGGATCCCTGCCAATATCATGCCACTCCGGCCCTCCATTCGATTGTCCAATGCCTCTTGTACATTTCAACATAATCAACATCTTTTGTTTCATTAAATATCCGCATTAATTTATGGGCTTAGCTATATAAGATCAACAAATATTTTTATTGTTATCATAAATATTTAATCTGTCATGATTAGAATTTGTTATCTGCAAAGTGTTTTTTTTCAATAAGCAAATCTGAAAACTTCAGGGTAAGGGTAAAAGTTGTCTGGGTGGGATGTACGGGTTCCTAGTGGAATTAAGTTTTTGAACTAATGGATTCATGTTGTAAGTTAGTCTTTGGTGGAAGTTTTATAGCATTGTGTTGCAATATCTGATGTCCAAATTCTTGTTTAATAAATCATTTCAATGACTTCCTGTCCTTCAGTATCCCTTAACAATACCTCACTTATTCCTGTTGAACAAATCCGTTACCTAGGACTCCATCTGGACAAACGTCTAACTTGGAATCCTCACACCAGACTGAAACGACAAGAAACAGCTCGACGTTTCCGCTTATTCCAACACCTACTTGGACTTACGGACTTGAGCTATGGGGCTCAACCAAACCTTAAAATTCCTCTCGTATCCAATCCTTACAATACAAAATCCTTCGTAAAATCCTCAATGCTCCTTACTTTGTTACAAATAAAATCATCCACAATGACCTTAATGTTCCTTATGTATCAGATTTGGCGCAATCCAGATATCTATCCTTCCATAATAAACTTCATAACCATCTCAATCCTTTTGTTTCTAACCTTGCTTCCTATTCAATTCCTGATAACCCTCCGAGGCGTCTGAAAAGAAGATGGCCACGTGATCTCGTAATATAGACATATTATTAGAATGCTACCAATGGGTAGTTTCTCAACATGTGTTTCATGTTATTATATCCATGTGCGAATTTACTAGATGTATTTTTTTTATACATCTACTCTACAGTTGTAAATATCATAAAAAAAAAAAAAATCGTCACATAGAAAAATGCGTCTGCAATTTTTCGCAAAACTTTTGAATGAAAAGTTCGAAGTTGTGATTATTAGACTTTTTCACAGTGCCCCATAGTACTATCCCATA